ATAGTTAATCTTACAGCCCAGAAACAGAGGACCCTATTACTATCAAGAGAGAAGAGCACAAGCAGAATGCAGGACCTTATCTAGAGAAGCAATGATACCAGAGATGGAGGCAGAGAGGGGGATATGGAGACAGAGAGCAGCAGAGAGCAATATGTAAAAGACTGAAACAAGATCTTTACCTCACACCTTCTATAAAAACCAATTTAGCAAGGATTAAGGACCTAAATGTGAATCCCAGAATTACAAAGGCCATCAATGAAAAATAGGGACAAATGTGAGGGCTTTAATATAGGACTTACAAAGACTACTAAACATTTAGAAAATCACACAAACAAATTAGACAAAATAGATGAATGGGACATACTAAAAATTAAAAACTTATGTGTATCAAAGACTTCATCAAAACAGTAAAAAGAGAGCCCACAGAATGGGAAAAAAATCTTTTGTGACACATCAGACAAGGGACTCACTTCCAAAATATATAGGAATCTACAACACTTCTACAAGAAAAGGAAAAATAATCCAATTAAAAAATGGGCACAGGACATGAATAGACACTGCACCAAGGAGGAGATCCAGGCAGCCAACAAACATACGAAGAAATGTTCATGATCACTAGCCATTAGAGAGATGCGGATCAAAACAACAATGAGATATCATCTCACACCAGCAATAAAAGCAAAGATCAAAAATAAAAGAGGGCAGTAAATGTTGGTGAGGATGTGGACAGACTGGGAACCTCCTACATTGCAGGTGGGATTACAAAATGGTCCAACCACTCTGTTAAATAATATGGTGCTTCCTCAGATGGTTGAAAATAGAGATACCTTATGATCCAGCAATTCCTCTACTTGGCATTTATCGACAAGAAATATGAGCCATAATACAAATAGATATATGCACACCAATGTTCATAGCATCAGTGTTTGCAATAGCAAAAATATGGAGACAGCCTAAGTGCCCATCAGTGGAAGAATGGATAAACAAACTGTGGTACATACATACAATGGAATATTATGCTACCCTGAAGAATAACAAGGAAGCTGCAAGCCACCATATAACATGGATGAACCTTGAGGACATTATGCTGAGTGAAATCAGTCTGTCACAAAAGGAGTAATATGGCATAGGACCATTAATGTAAAAGATTAAGAAAAAACATCCACACTAAAAGGGGGGGAATTTTTGTTGCTGGTTACTGGGGTGCATGGGGTGGAGTGAGGGGAGGGAGAGGAAGGTGGAGCACAGGGTAGGGAATAGACACAGGATAGTAGAGCTTAGTGTGGGGAATAGACACAGGATAGTTTAGGTGCGTGGGAGGTGGGGCATACACCAGAAGGGGAAGGGGAAAAGAAAAACAAGGCAGATGAAAGAAAGCTAGGCAAGTTTACATGGGCTAAATAGGACAGAGGTAAATAATGATGTAAGCACAACTGTAGAACAACAGGACTCAAGGATACAAAGATTGAGGCATGGTTTGAATGGGTAAAAGTCGGGAAATGATGTTAAGATGCTTGGCTGTCTTTTGAATCTTGGTTTCCCTTACCTCCTATTGTAAAATAGACACTTGAAGGGGGAGAGACAAGAATAGCCAGAAACATCACAATAGAAAGCTTCAGCCTATAACTGATTGAAATACTTAAAATGGGGCTAGAGCTTGCCCAATGAAGGAGACTCCCTTCAAAACCTTT